TGTACGTATCTCAAATTCCCTATTGCATTTTAAACTGAATGTCAAGTTGAGGAAAAGCGGGTTGTTGCTGCGGCTGTAGCACTAATTAAGGGTGCAGGTCTGAAGAGGCTGCCAGCCAGATTGGACCTGAAGGAGAGTTTGCAAAGCTATGACTGAGTCAAGCTAGCATCCAGGGACAAGACAGGTTTTTTTTCCCCCTCCTTACGAGAAAAACCCTCCCTTGAAAATAGAGAGGAACCCAGCAAAGCATTCCCGTGAAAGACAGGGCTCAGCTGACTCGTGTGGGATTTGCAAGTCACCATCCATGTGAGTGACAAGCAGGCCCTCCCGACAGGACGAGCCCTGAAATGAAACCAAAAGGTTCTTTGCCCCCCATGAAAATTAGTTGGGGAAAAGCCCCTCACCGGACAAGTTTTCAAGGCACAGAGCCTCTGTATAAAGCCAACATCTTTGAAAACGTTTTACCGGTTGTTTAGAAAGTTTTGATGGTGGAGGTGGGGGTAGGGGGTGGGTGACGGTATAATTGAAGAAAAAAAAAAAAAATGTTGCTCAAGGAGGTTTGCTTCGTCCACGTCTGGGTGCCCTGCGGTTGGAGACGATATTGTTTACTGTTCCCTGGCAGGTTCCCGGTCACCCCCAAATACACGCACACCCACACCAGACCGGGGGCCCTCGAGACCTCACTGTCAATCTCAGCTGAAGGCACTTAATGAGAACCAATCACTCTTCGCTGGATCCAGGGGACCTACTTCTTGCGCTTCAGGGAACCTGTGCACCCCGCTGGGCTTTCTAAACGTCTTGGTTACTCATTCTAAGAATTAGCCACACGCTATTGCTTGGTAGTAATTTTTTTTTTTTTCTCGCTCAGAAAACCGCAAAAGGATTTAACTAAAAGGAAGCAAAGGTTTTCTTTTTATAAATTCGATTAGTCTTTTGCACTTTCTCTGCCTCGGGACCTTTCCTTCGGGAGGAATTTTATACCCAGGCACCCAACCCTTAGTGAGTGAGGCACTGTTGCATGCGGGGCACGGAGAACTTAAACGCAACCCGAAGGAGCATTTGCGGTCCCCTGCCCATTCCGTTTTTAAATGCCGGTATGAAAATAGCCCTGCAAGGGGAGGAAGATGAAGTTTGCCACGCACTAGTAGTATGGATCCACTGCCCGGATGGAATCCTGCCTCCGCTGCGCTGCGTGCGACTGAATTCCCTCCCAGAGCCAGCACCTGGGCACCCTGTCTTCGCGCTGCGGGAACATGGGACTAGAGATGTCCTTGCAGGTGGACAGCGGTCAGTTCCCCTGCTCCCCCCGCTCCCCCCCCCGCATCTGTTCTCTTCTCCACTTCTCCAGGAGTCCCCTGCTGGACATAGCACACAGTTCGCTCTCCAAGGCCTCGGGTTCGAAGCTGCGCCAAGATCCGATGGGAGGTTAGGATTTGAAGTACAGCAGTTCGCTTAAGAAAACAGTCTGTGAAATTCCCAGGAAAGAGGAGTCCCAAAGCTTGGGAAAAGGCCGAACCTATGGAACGCTTTCCAAATTTGTCTTGTTTTATGTCATCACCACCGCCACCCCCTAAGTACCGAAAAGAACCCTTAAGGGCAGGAGAACAAGCCACCTCAATCTTTCTTCCCTGTTCCTCCCACCCACAGCCGGCAGGCATCTAGGCAAGAAAAACACAAATAAACCCCAGGTGGTTAATGGTGGTGCATCCAGGCGCCCTATCCCCAAACACACACACACACACACACACACACACACACACACACACACACACACACACAACTCACCACCTACTTGGTCCCACCCACCTCTGGGGAGGGGAGGGACCGGGAACCTGATCTCCCAGCTCCTGCCCTGAACGTTTCCCCATCAATAATGTTGATACCATCGACGTGCCTGCTCCCCGCCCCCAGGGCGCCGCTGCCGCCTTTTTGCCGCTTTTTGCCCGGCGCAGGAAAACGAAACCTCCTCTACTGCCCTTGTAGTCCCGGCCTGGGGCCTTGGGCTGGAGATTTCGGAAGCTGGGGCATAGGCAGCGCGCTTAGGGACCATCTCCACGTCTGGAGTAGGGTACTCAACCTGCACCGATGGAACCCGGAAGAGAGTCGGGGACTCACACAAGGCCTCAATCCAGGCCCCATCCCACACCGGGGTCAGACTGGGCCATAATTAGAAAACTTGACCGGCTGAAGAAACAGGCCTCAGAATGGAAGGCCTTCATGCCACCACCCCTTCCTAAAACTGGAGCTTGAACAAAGATGCACCGAAACCCCTTCCTTGAGAACTATGCTGGGGCAGCGGCCTTAGGCCACGGCCCTCGGGCCAGCCAACTCACCGAGGACAAACTAGACATCGGGAAACTGAGGTGATAGTGTGGAAGGAACAGAGACCCCCGCCCCTCAAAGGCAGTTTGCACAACTGCTAAGAGCCTCCCCAGGGTGCGTTTCGTCTTGGTCCCAGAGGTCGCGACCCCGGCGCAGCTGTCACTTCACTTCGGGCCACCCCCATTCCCTATTAGGTATCTGTCCCCAAATACCAGGCCTTTCTGAAGAACCTGCAAGCCACAAGCTCTTCGCCTTATTTCCCAGAAGCAGCCCCCATCCATGGTTGGGAGGGCGCGACCCCATGGAGTGTTCTGGCCTGGAGGTGTGCTGAGCGGTCGGAGAGACCCCAGCTGTGGCACCTCACTGGCCTCCGCTTTCTCGACCCGTTCAAAAATAAAAATTCACCCCCACTCTATGTCCATTTTTATTGATTTAATTATGTCTTTGCTCCGCGGCACGCGGTGCCTTGCCAGCTTGCTGACACTTCAGCGACCGCACCAGCGAACCGCATAACTTGGGCGCGAGACAATGGCCTGTAATTGATGTATCGCCACCAACAATAAAGACCAATTCTCCTCTCCCGGCCATTCCAACCGTCCCCTTCCTCCCATCCCCCTCCTCCACCTCCCCTCATCTCTCTCCGGGCCAAAGGGAAAGAAAACAAACAAGAAATTAGCGGGGGATGCCGCTCGCAGGGCCAGGCGCCCGCCTCTACGTCGTCGAGGACTCAAAAGAACGAAAAAAGTTATCAAAGTTTAGATACCACCAATTAATCCGTCTCTACTCGCCCATTTTTAATTAAACAGCGCGAAGCAGTTTTTGCGTTTTCTTTCGTTTGTTGTATTGGGCGGGGGGAGAGATTCTCCCCACCCTTAATCACACATAGAGCCGACAGCGAGCACGTGTGAAGCTTCTCCCCCGAGCTTCCCTAGAAGCACACCGTGAGAAGGGTTTGTGGGACCGCCAGCTCCACTGGGTTTCTGGCCACTAGACTGCCCGGAGGTAGGGACTTTCAAGAAGCCAAGAGTGTTACCGACTGTTCACGACTGCTCCAAACACCGGCAGATTCGGGGAAGAAAGGCTCCAGTGCGCCTGGAAGCGTCGGTGTACCCCGAAGGGTGCGCATTCGTGTGTTTTCAAGTGCGCAGATTTGCGGGGTGGGGGAGAGTGCTAGATTTAAAAATGCTCAGGTCTCATCACGTTCCCGGGGGTTTGGGGCAAGCGAGCGGCTCGCACCCCAGGAGCGCGCAAATCCATCTTTGCCGAGGGATCTCTTTAAATATTCAGTGAGAAATAATGGCATTTGAAACACCACCTATGGAAACATTATTATCTTCATTCTTCAACATCAGGCTCACTGATAGCTTCGTTTGTCTTTTTATCAAAATCTACAGTACCCAACAGAACCTGGGGAGAGGGAAAGAGCGAGGTGCGAGGGGATAGCGGGAGACCAGGGAGACGCACGAGGGGTGGGCGAGCAAGGGCAAAACTAGGAAAAGGTAGGAAGAGTGAACAGGGAGAATGAAAGAAGGGAGAAGTTATACCAAGAAAGAATAAAGTCAGCAGATGGAAAAGATACTTTCAACTAACACACAAAAGATTAAGGGAAAAAGAAAAAAAAAATCGGAGAAGGAAAAAAAGGCCACTTAAGAGAATGCGATGTGGGTCCTGAATTCTGAGGCTCTGCTGCGAAGGCTAGTGCCCACTTCGCGCGAGCCGACTGTGGCACGATCCAGACTCAAAGGCGCTCCAGAATTGGGGCGTCCTTATGAGCCCTCTCCTCTCCCGATCGCGAGATAGGGCAAGGATTGTGTATCTGCACCCCTCCCCCGCCTCCACCCCCATTACTCAGCCGAAGTTTAGTTAGTTTAGTCCTTCGAGCGCAGGACTTCGGGAACCTCGGCGAGCGGAAACCCCGAGGCGGGAGGAGATCTAGGCTAAGCCGAGGACCAAGCCTCAGATTCGCGGGTGCCTCAGCCCGGAAGAGGGAGTGCAGGGCCCGGATTCCGGGGTCCCGTGCGCGGGTAAGGGAGGCTGTTACCCAGCTCTGGGAGATGGAGATAGAGCGAAAAGTTTGGGCGCCGCGCGTGGCAAGTGTCAGAAAAAAAAGTGAAGGCGAGCTGCGGCGTAGCTAGGGGGCAGCGGACAGGACCCCCTCCCTTCTCACTCACTCGTGGCTCAGGGAAGCCACCTCGTCGCAGACGAGGCGGCTAGGGTAGGGAGTAATGGGGTCCCGGGTAGAGGCGGTGCCTAGGGTCCGGCTTCCCAGGCCGGGGGCACGCTGCCTAGCACAGGATTAGCGGCGCCCCTCCCCTCCCTCCCGCCGAAGCTGAACTCGGAGCCCAGGCAGGTCCGTGCTCTCCACCCGCCCGGGGCTTAGCGGCGCCACGGTGGCCGCCGCCTCCCCGCGGAGTGACGCGCCCTGCAGCCAACCGGGGCGGCCGGGGGGAGGTTCGGGAGGGGTCCTGGGCGGAGCCGAGCCGCCCCCTTATCCCACGGGCTCGGGGCGCTTCTCCCGAAAACTTCAGCCCTAATTGTCCCGGGAATGTCCGAGGTAGAGAAAGGGAGCTAAGGAGCCAGCCAGAGGCTGGAGGAGCGCAGCTCCCAGGCAGGGAGAGGATGGGGTGGCGAGAAAACTGCCCCTCCCCCCAGACCCCAAACCCATCACGTTCCCAAACCTTTCCTGGGTCGTCTTCTCCGCACCCCCGCGAGCCCGGGATCCTGGGAATGGAGAACTCTGGGCGAAGGATCTCCGAGCCAGGCGGCGGGCAGGCGGGAGGGAGGCCCGGCAGCGGGCGGGAGGCGGACCGGCGTGGGGCTGGCTCTTCCCCACTCGCTTTTTTTTTTTTTTTTTTTTTTTTTTTTTTTTTTTTTTTTTTTTTTTTTGCTTTACCAGGGTGGGGCTTGGTAGCCTTCTGGTAGCTCTTAAAGAAACGAAGGAACACTCACGAAACGGGACGCCCTCCCCACCCCCAATCCCGCCACGGGACTCCCTCCCCCCGCGGGCC